CGTCCAACCTGCTCGTGGACGAGACCTGGAACGTGAAGGTCGCCGATTTCGGCTTCGCGCGCATCAAGGAGGAGAACGCCACCATGACCCGCTGCGGCACGCCGGCCTGGACCGCGCCGGAGATCATTCGCGGCGAGAAGTACTCCGAGAAGGCCGATCTGTACAGCTTCGGCGTCGTCATGTGGGAGATGCTGACCCGCAAGCAGCCCTACGCCGGACGCAACTTCATGGGCGTCTCGCTGGACGTGCTCGAGGGCAAGAGGCCCCAGATTCCCCAGGACTGCCCCGCCGTACGTTCTCCTTCCACTGCTCTCTCTCTCTCTCTTGAATCGAAGCGCTCTTGAGGCTCACCGGCGTTGTGTTTACCACCAACAGGAGTACAAGAAGATCATGAAGAAGTGCTGGCACAACAAGCCCGAGAAGCGGCCCAAGATGGAGGACGTGGTCACGTTCCTCGATTCGCTCATCGGCGAAGACAACGACCGGGACCAGCCCTGAGCAGTAGACGAACAACAAACAACAACTGGGGGAGAACCAGCCACGACAAGCAAGGAGACAGATCATCCACAACAAGGCGACAGTCATATGACTGGAAGGAACAGAGAAAGGAAGGAGAGAAGATGAAGAGGTGAGGTGAAGAGGGAGAGGAGTCAGACAACACATGTCCTTGCTCAGGTTTTTCACACTGTATTTTTATTATTAACCATTTCCAAAAGCTTTTCTTTTGGGTGAGGGAATTTCATCGCCACTTTCTTGCTTTGGGCAACAGAATTGATGCTTTGAGAACAACGTTGATGATAGATTGCTGAGTCTGGTGGTCTCGAAAGATGGGAAATAAGGTGGCCACGCAGGCGGTTCATCTGAATAATTACCTGCATGAATTATCAGAGAAAATCGTCTACGATCAGCCCCTTGGCAACGGACGCTTTCTGCGTACCATCAAGTGCCAGTGCTTGCCCGACGAAGGCGCCGTTGTGGTCAAGGTCTACGTGAAACTACAGCAAGGCTCCCTAAGAGAATACGTGGACAAGCTTACAGGTACCCCACCCCAACGCAATCTTCTTATTTTAGATTACAAAATAATATTATATTATTATATGTCCATTTATTAGGTTCCTTTTGCGATTTAACATCTTCTTTTATTGTTTTACGATATGTAATCTTCGTGGTTGTGTGGTGCAGACATACAGGAGAAGTTTGCCCACATACGAAACCCGAACGTGTTTCCCTTCCAACGCTTCATCGAGACGGAGAAGGCCGGCTACCTCATCCGCCAGTACTTCCTCTACAACCTCTACGATCGCATCGGGTACCCATCACCACCCACCACCCACCATCCTGACCTCAACACACGTTCCTTACATCGCTTTCGTGTGTGCTGTGTGTGTGTTTAGAACGCGGCCTTTCCTCACGGACATCGAGAAAAAGTGGATCACGTTCCAGCTGCTGCGCGCGCTGAGCCAGGCCCACGCGCGAGGCGTTTGCCACGGCGACATCAAGTGCGAGAATGTGCTGGTCACCAGCTGGATGTGGATCTACCTCTCCGACTTTGCCTGCTACAAGCCCACCTACATACCCGAGGTTTTTGCCCCCCTGCGTGTGCGTGTGCGTGTGCGTGTGCGTGTGCGTGTGCGGTAACTGATCGTCATTGCATAACAGAACAACCCTTGGCCGTTCAACTTCTTCTTCGACACCGGAGAGCGCGGCACGTGCTACCTGGCGCCGGAGAGGTTCTACTCCTCCGGAGACAAAATCCCCGTCAAGGGCGAGCTCACGCCGGCCATGGACATCTTCTCGCTCGGCTGCGTCATCGCGGAGCTGTTCCTGGAGGGCCAGCCCATCTTCACCTCGCCCCAGCTGCTGAGCTATCGCAAGGGCGAATACGACCCGACACCCTTCATCGAGCGCATCCAGGACAAGGGCGTGCAGCGGCTGGTCAAGGCCATGATCCAGCTGGACCCCAACCTTCGTGACAGTGCCGACTACTACCTCAAGACCTGGTGCGTCGCTTCCCCCCGAAACCGCCCCTTTCTTGACTACCAGTGCTCACATGACGGGTGTCGTGCGTGGCCAGGACCCCGGAGGCGTTCCCAGAGTACTTTGCATTTTTGCAGGATGAGCTGATGCTGGAGTTGATGGTCATGGACGCCGACAACAAGGTCGCCACCATCCACCAGCAGTTTGATCGCATCCTCTCCCAATTCACCTGTACGCCAGTGCACCCGCCTTCCTCACGCGCGGCACATATGGCCTCTCGTACCACTCAACTGACCCGGCATACGACACGACACGACACGACACACGCGTGCCCAGCAGCACCGCCTCAGTCCTCGCTGACTTCGTCGCCCGCACTTCCCCTGCCCAGCCACCCGGCCTCGCTTACCGAATCCTCGCCGGCGGGTCTGCCCACCCGCAGCAGCAGCGCGGCTATCCCGCGCTCCTACTCTGGCTCCACGCTGGCCAGCAGCGGGGCCACCACACCCAACGGCCGAAAGCGACGGCAGGCCAACGGCGAGGGCGGCACCGCCAGTGACGAGGCCGAGGCCGAGTACGACAACGGCGACCATGACAAGGACGGCGGCAAGGACAACGCCTTCACGCTCCTGCTCAACACGGAGAAGTTCATCCACCATCTCGAGGGCGCGGCGCCCGCATCGCCTTCGACGCGGCGCCCCAGTCGCCCGTTCGGCCTGGACGCGCATGCCCTGAGCGACTACAAGGGGGAGGGCAGCGGCGACGCGCTGCGGCCCCCGCCGTCGGTTGGCGGTGAGAGCGACCCTGTGATCTCCCCACGAGGAGGCGACAAGGTAGTCCCACACGCGCAGACATGCATGTCGGACGACTTAGCTTTACGGTCCACTGACTGGTCCACTTGCAGGAGCCTAAGGACCTGGTGCGCGCCATCAACACGGACGCCACGGAGACACCCGCCGAGGCTGTGCCGGAAATGACGAGTCTCACCCGTGGCACCGAGGGCTTCGTTCTCATCCTCAACGTTCTCTGCTCGTCTATCAGGAACGTCCGCACGCCGGTACGGCATTCGCTTCCTGCCCAACCTTGGACGCACACACAACCGCACACGCACGCTGACACTCCCATTCTTTTGCGTCTCTGGCCATCGCTGCAGCATTCGCGGTTGCTGGCGCTCGACGTCTTTGTCAAGTTGATACCGTAGTGGACGACCAGTGCCGGCTGCAGAGGCTCGTGCCCTACGTGGTGTCCCTCCTCTCGGACCAGCACTCGCTCATCAAAGTCACCGCCCTGCGCACACTCACCAAAATCGTACGCAGAACCTTCCTGTGCGGTCGTGTGTCGCGCGTGTCGTGTGTGTCGCGTGTCGCGTGTGTCGTGTGTCGATTGGACTTACGGTTTTTGCGTGTGAGGGCAGCTCGAGAAGGTGACGGAGTTCGGTCCCAGCGACTCGCACATCTTCCCCGAGTACATCCTGCCCGCCCTCTCCGAGTTCCACACAGCCAACGAGGAAATCGTGCGACTCGCCTTCGCCGAGAACCTGGCGCAGCTCGCCGAGATCGCCCGCCGGTTCCTCGAGACCTCGCAGCTGTTCAAGCGGGTCGCCATGGGCGACCTCAGCGCCCACTCCAGCAGCACCAACTGGAACGGCGAGCTCCTGCCCCACCAGGTTCGAGCCTCCGGCCTTGGCTTTCGCTTTCGTTTTCGTTTTAATTTTCGATTTTAGTTTCAAAAGGGTTAATTCAGTTCTCGGTTTTCGCAGGCGTCGTACGACATGGAGCTCAAGGAGTTGCAGGACACCTTCCACGAGATCGTTGTTCACATCCTGTCGCGCGAGAGGTCGTCCAGCGTCAAGCGCACTCTTCTCATGGTAAGCGTTCCACCCGCACGTGTGAAGCTCATCGCCGATGGCATTGCGTGCTAAGGCATAATGATGGGACCACACACACACCAGGACATCACGAGGTTGTGCATCTTCTTTGGCCGATTCAAGACGGAGACGACACTGCTGCTTCACTTGATCACGTTCGTCAACGAGCACAGCGATTGGCAACTGCGCTGCGCGTTCTTCCACAACATCGTCGGCGTGGCTGCCTTTGTTGGAGACAAGTCGCTGGAGCTCTACATCCTGCCCTGCATCGAGCAGGCCCTTGCTGGTACAGCTTCATTATAACGCACGCACGCACGCACGCACACGCACGCACGCACGCACGCACACGACACGAACCAAACATTGTGTTGCTGTTGTCGATGCAGACGAAGAAGAGTTCGTGATTGACAAGGCCATCAACTGCATGGGCTGCCTGTGCGAGTTGGGCCTGTTCCGCAAGCCCATCCTCATCAACATCGCCCAGAAGACCACTCCCATGCTCTTCCACCCCAACACCTGGATTCGATTCGGTACACCACCATCGTTGTGCCTTCCAGCCATGGCCCGCACTCACACCTGGTCACTGGTCTCTGGGCGCTGCGCAGGTGTTGTGGCGCTCACGGAGGCCATCTCGAAGCAGCTCTCGCGGGCCGACGTGTTCTGCTTCCTGTTCCCCATCCTCCGACCGTTCCTCCAGTGCGACATCGTCCACGTCACCGAGTCCAACCTGCTCCAGGCCCTGCAATCGCCGGTACCATCGCCAGCCTCTCCTCTCCTCTCATCGACGGCCGTGCGCGTGTTGTGTGGTGTGTGTGTGTGTGTGATGCGGCTCATTTACGATTTTCCTGGTGATTGGCAGGTGTCACGAGGCAACTTCGAAAAGGCGCTGTACAGCATCGGGCCGATCCTGTCGGAGGAGGACGGAAGCTCCCCGGAGCCCTCGCGCCAGCCGTCTTCGGAAGACGCAGCCGACGGACCCGAAGGCAAACTGCCCCGGGCCTCCTCGCAATCCAACCTGCCCGACGGTATGCCTCTGAGCCAGCCACTGCTCGCAGAGCACCCTTTGCACGCTCGCGCGCTTTGCGGCTGGACCTAAAGAGACTGGTTCTCTCTCTCTCTCTCGTCGTAGGCGAAGAGGGGAGCTTTGACAGCAAATTCCTGAGCAAGCTCAGGGAGTGCGGAGTGCAAGACGAGGAGAAGTCGAAGCTGTTCCTCATGCGCCACTACCTCAAGAACGCCTCGGCTGCCATTACCTAGTACGAGCCGCCGCCACCTCCTGGGATTGTTATGTGTGTCGCACCCCGTGTGCACGTGTGTCGTGTCTGTCGTGTCGTTGGTCGCGTCGTGTGTTTGCTGACCCTTGTCCCGGCGCAGCAAAAACCTGTGGACGAACAAGAAGGAGGCGGAGAAGGGCGGGGGCGAGGCCCGGTCTCGGCGCGACGAGTACGCGCAGCTGTCGAAGACGATCCCCGTGCACTCGACCGGCGCCCTCTCCACCGCATACTCGCAAGCGCAGCCGGGCGGCGGCATCGGCGCCCCCTCGCTCGTACGCCCCCTTTTCCTCACTTCAATCGCCCGACACGCCCGCTGAACTCACGCGTGGGTGGATCGCCGGCGGTATCAGGATAAGGCGCAGGCGCCAACGGCGGCGCGAGCCTACGGAGAAGCGTATCTGGGGCGCCTGCAGCGTATGGACAACGGCAGCTCGATGCCGCTCACCGGCGATAGCCTGCGGGACTGGAAGCCGCGGGGCATTCTCGTCGCACACCTGCACGAGCACCACGGGCCGGTCAACCAGTTGAAGGCCACGCGCGACAACCTGTTCTTCGCCTCGTGCTCCGACGACGGCACGGTCAAGATTTGGGACTGCCAGCGGCTCACCAACCAGAAGAACGTCACCAACCGATCCCGGCTCACCTACTCCTCACAAGGTGCTCGCCTCTCTCTACCCTTTGCGTATGTGTCGTGGTGTCGTGTGTGTGTGTGTCGTGTGTCGTGTGTCGTGTGTCGTGTGTGTGTGTGTCGTGTGTGTGTGTCGCGTCGCGTCGCGTGTTTAGATTGCTAAGTTGTGTTATGTGCGTAGGTGGCAAGATCAAGTGTATCACGGTCTGTGAGAACTCGCACGCCATCGCGTCGGGGTCGGACAACTCGTCGATTCACGTCATCAAGGTGGAGTACACCACCAAGAAGGAGGGCCAGGTCAACCGCTACACCGGCGTCTCGACCGTGCAGTACCTGGACAAGGTGCAGGGTCCCGTAGTCGCCATCGACCACTTCAACACCGACTCCCAGTCCGTCCTGATCTACGCCACCGGTACCCACCACCGCCCATGCGGCATGGGGCGTGTGTGTGTTGCGCTGCACTCACACAGTGCTGACTGTTCTACCAGGCAAGGGCTACATTCACGTGTGGGACCTGCGGCAGAAGCGGGAGATCTGCGAGATGCGCAACGGCCCCGAGCTGGGCGTGCTCAAGACGTTCGTCATCGACGCCGGACGCAACTGGCTCGTGACGGCCACGTCGCGCGGGTACTACACGTGTTGGGACCTGCGGTTCTCGATCCCGGTCAAGACCTGGCGGCACGCCGACGCCGCCAAGCGCAACGTGCACCGAATGGCCCCGTCCCCCGCGGCGAACAAGCCGCTCTACGCGCTGTCGTCGCCCTACTTCTTCGCGGCCAACGGCGACAATCAGGTCGACATGTGGGATATCGAGAGCACCGTGTCGAGGCAGGTGTTCAAGATCGTGCCCGAGTTCGGCGCGCACAACCACCAGGCACCCCTGCCCGGCTCGGCCACGCTGCACAAGTCGCAGTCGCTCGACTTTGGCACGGAGGACCTGCAACGTCAGGTACTACGCGCGACACCACACACACACACACACACACGCGCGCACACACACAACACACACAACACACAGCGGCAGATCATGTGCTGAACGAACACACACAACCAGGTGCTGAACAGCGAGTCGTCAATGCGTGCGATCCTGTCGGGTCCAAGCGACGCCATGTCGGGCTCGCCCAACTACGTCATCACGGCCGGCACCGACCGCTGCATTCGCTACTGGGACCTCACCAACGTGTCCAAGTCGTTCGTCATCTCCGGGCCGTCGCACTCGTCCGCATCGCCGGCCCAGCTGCCCGTCTACAGCACCCAGACGGCCGGACCCACGACCTACTTCATCGAGACGCCGCCGCCCACGCTCCTCTCATCATTGGCCTCCGCGCACGCCTCGCCTGCATCGTCGCTATCTTCGTCGACGCTGTCGTCGTCGACGTCATCGGGCGCGTCGTCGTCATCCGGAGGCGGCGCGTCGGCCGAGAGCCCGCGGGTAGTGCTGAGCAGCGGCAAGCAGCGACCACCGCCCATCCACCACAACGACGCCATCACCGACGTCGAGGTGCTCGAGCTGCCCACGCGGCTGCTCATCTCCGGCTCGCGCGACGGCGTCATCAAGGTGTGGAAGTAAGTGGAAAAGAGAAGAGAGGTTACAAAAATGATTTAATTTATTGTGTTTTGTTTTGTTGAAAGATGGAAGAGCGCACAAGCGAAGATGAACGAGAAGGGTCTGAGGCCACGTTGGTGCAACTGTGGTGGCCCAGAAGAAAAGAAGGTGCTGATGGCACATTTGAGGCCCCACCACCAGATGTGACAAAGCAAATCGAATGCAAGAGGTTCCTGGTTGGTTGGTGGCATTCTGCTGCAGATAGCCAGCACCTCGTCGTGACCGTGGTTGCCACCGTAGCCGCCAAGGTACTTCCACAACAGTTGATTTTATTTATTGATTGATTGTTGATTATTTTGCTCTTGCGAGTACTAGTCAGAAGAGGCCGCAGAGCAAGCGCTGCAGAGAGCCACAGCGCCAGAGGCCATCGACGGCCTGTCCTCCCTTGCGGTGCTGGGCACGTTGGGTCCTGGGAGCTCCCTGACCCGGGTACCCCACCTCACCCATCATGCACCTCGAGAGCGTGCTCACCCGGCTACGTGGTTGATGGTTCTTTCTAGGAGACGAAGAAGAAGACAGCCGGCGGTCGAGAGCTGTGGATCAGACTCGACTACTCGGTACTCTCCTCGCATGCACACCAGCCCGCGTGTGGTGGGGTGTTGCTCACCTGCCCATGTCGCGTTTGCACGTGCCCGGGTGTGTGTTATCGTTCCGAAGACTGGGTTGCAGCAGGACGAACCGCTGCCGTACGTGGCCGAGGTCTTGCACCGTTGCAAGTACGTATGACACCACTTCATCAAACAAACGCACCAGCAATCCACGGTCATGGACAGAATGATGTCTGATGTCTGATGTCTGATCTAACGCACCCAAAAGGCACCGCGGCGAAGAGCACATCACAACGCAGGTGATCCTCTACGAGCCCCCGGCGTCCCAATCCGGTCACTTCCTCACGACAGAGCCACTCCCGATGGACCGCGACGACGAGGTCTTGACGCCACGAGTAGTACTCGCCCCTCTCCTTTTCGCGTTGCCCATTCTGAACGCGACGATGGATTGATTGTGCCGTGCACCATTCTCGTTGGCCCACAGGACGAACCACCACCGCCACCAGCTAGTGCAGCTGGGGAAGGGGACACCGGCCTGGATCGCCATGTGCAGCAGATCAACAGGTGCGTGCGCGCCACTTGAGTACCCGACAAGCTCGTTCTCGGCAACCTCATCAACTTGCTCTTGGCGTGTGTGTTGTGTGTTGTGTTTCTTTTCTCCCCAGCGCGTGGTTGGTTGGTGCCATGCTGATCCATACGCTCGCGCACCCCGACGCTGCCACCCCCACGTCGTGCGCTGCCCTGTCATCGATGGTTCGTACCACTCGCCGCTCTCTCTGGTTCTCACTGCGCGCCAGCAAGACTGAGAATGGCGCTGCAGGCCAGCAGAGGCTATGCGCACCGGGGCGTGTGGAATGCGCTGGCTGCGCTGGCGGCCGCCTGCGATCGGTGGCTCTTCGTTCCGCTGCTGTGGCTGCTCGACCTCTCGGTCCCGTTCGGCCTGACCTCGCTCCTGCGCATCAAGCAGGCCACAGCCGTGGGCCGCCAGCTCGACCTCCGCCTGCGCAGCCTGCGGCAGTGCGTCGCGCAGTGGACCTACCTCAGTCGGGACCATCACAACCCATGGCAGCACACCCCTGTACCTGCTCCCACCGTAGTGCGTGTGTGCGTGTGCGTGTGCGGTCCTAACCATTTTGACTCTGCGACAGAAGCGGCGAGTCGTGGAAGTGAGCCTGGCCAACGCGTTCTGGCTGATGACGATCGACGCCCTCGCCGGCGTCTTGTTCGTGTTTGTCGCGTGGAGCTCGGCGGACTGGCTCGCGCAGGAGATCTCCGCCTCCGACTACGAGGACCTCTGGTGCGAACCGCTCCGCGGCGGCGTCATCTTCCTCATGAACCAGCCCGGAGGCGTCAAACTCAACCCGCAGCTGAGCGATGCCCTGGGCGCTGTCTTCCTCTACCTCATCGACTCATGGACCGTCGTCACAGCCGGTAACACCGCACGACACACGGCACACACGGCACACGCGGCACACGCGGCACACACGGCACACACGGCACACACACACACGACACGATATACACGACACGCAGCGACACGACACATGCATTTGCTAACCCGAATGACGCGCAGGACTGCTGCCCTATTTGCCATCGCTACTGCGGGTGGCGTCGTTGGCTGGCCTCATGGGCCTCACGATGACGCTCGCGCTGCTGTCGGACATGGTCTCCTTCTTCACCATCCACGTCTTCTACTTCTACACCGTCTCCGCCCGCTTCTACGCCATCATGCTGCACATCCTCTCCTCCCTGTGGAAACTCTTCCGCGGTACTGCCTTCGCTCGTGTCGTGTGTGTGTCGTGTGTGTCGTGTGTGTCGTGTGTCATACAACTTACGCCACTAACGACACGCACGCAGGCAAGAAGCGGAACGTGCTGCGGCAGCGGATCGATTCGTATTCGTATGACGTGGACCAGCTGCTCCTGGGCACGCTGCTGTTCACGGTCATCTTCTTCCTCCTGCCTACCACCTTCGTGTTCTACCTCTACTTCGGGGTGCTCCGCCTGCTGGTCCTCTGCCTCTACGCCGCGCTCGCCTTCCTCACCGAGGGCCTCAACCACTTCCCCCTCTACTCCCTCTTCCTCTCCCTCTCCGACCCCAAGTCTCTCCCCAGTGCGCCTCCCCCCTCCCCACATTCACCTTCGCTTTCGCCTTTGTCTCTTTCGTTCTTTCTCACGCAACGAAAACCTTCAGGCGGCGTTTCGTTTTCGGCTCTAGCGGTGCCGCAGGACGCTGCCCGCCGTGCCTCTTATCTCGTCCTTCACGTACGTCCCCCTTCTGTGTGTCGTGTGCGTGTGCGTGTGCGTAGTGTGCGTCGTGTGTGAAGGGCGGCGAAGGAATTACGACGATTGCGGCGTGTGCTGTGTGTCGCGTCGTGTGTCGTGCGGGAGTTGACGGACATGTTTTGTGAACCTTACAGAGCCGCACAATGGCGCTGGGCGCGCTGTTTTACCACTACACCCGGGCGCTGCGGGACGTCGTCAGGCGCTACTCGCCGCAGACGCTCCTCTCGCGGTTCCTCGTGGGCGACATCATGATCGCCACCTGAAGCCAACCTACCCTCTTTCCTTTCGTCTTCATGTGTCACACAAAATGTTATTACCTATTTTCATCGTGGCGGTGGTGTGAGAGGTGCTTTCACTTGCGGGAGGCGTGGTGGGAGTCGAGTGCGCGCTGGGCGAGACCGCGGGCCGCGCCCTCAAAGTTGTTGGCGATGTAGTCCAGGTACTTTTGGCCCTCGTCCGTGCTGACCACCTCGCTCCACCGCTTGCCGGCGAACTTCTTCAGCTCCCGCGGCAGCAGGGCCTCCATGTCGAACGGCTCCGCTGCCGTTGAATACGCGGCCTTGGCCGCCCCCGCAGAAGTGGCTGACGACGATGAGGTGGCGGCAGAAGTCGAAGTTTTGGGCGCCGGCGATGATGAAGACGAAGAAGAAGGCGAGGAGGCGGCAGTGCTGGTGGTCAACTGGGACTCCTTCCACGGGTAGGGGAAGGGCGGACGGTCCAGGCGTCGGTAGAGGGTCTTCTTCTGGCCCGTCTTCTGGTTCTCGCACCACACGGCCACGGCGTACTTGTTCTTCCAGTCGGTCACGTAGGCCATGTCCCACAGCTCGCTCGCCACGCCAAGGTCCTTGCAGCACCGCACCAGCGCCTGCGACTTGACGCCCTCAAGCGCCGTCGCCGGCCCCGTGAACGACGTCAGCCTGCACAGAACCACACACGACACACGACACACACAATGGGTTAGGCGTGTGGCAGGATGTGGCGGGTGGTGAGTGTGTGCGTGTGCGGTCGCCGCGTACATCTCGCTCTCGCCGCTGGCCTGGGCGACGAAGCGGCCGTGGCAGAAGAGCGCCCACTCGCGGGTGAGGAACTTGTCGCCGTGCGTGGCCGGGCCGCGCGGCATGAGCGCCCAGCCGCCGGGGCCGAAGGCCGAGTTGAGGATGCGGCGGTACATGATCTCGGGCAGGTAGACGGTGCCGTCGGGCTTGATCTCGACGATGTTGGGGTCGACGGGCGCCACGAGCCGGTCGGCCACCTTGCGCGGGAAGGCCCGCGTGGAGATGCCGTCGAACGAGTTCTCGGTGTGTCGTGGCTGCGCAGCAGGGGCGGCGGCGGCATTGCCGAAGAAGGGTGAATATTGTGTGGTCTCTCCATCATCGGCGTAATCCTCATCTTCATCATCCTCTGTTTCATTATCTTCTTCAGCTCCACCTTCATCGTTCATCGCCATTTGGGCCTGAACCGACGTGTCAATGTGTAAGAGCAAGATTGAGGCTAATTGTGGAGTTGGAAGAGAAGAGCGTACATCAACGAAAGGGAAGGCACGACGTCGTGCATAGCCGCGCTGCTGCAGAGCGCCTAGCCTGAGGGGCCTGACCGCACTTGAATCGGAACTGAGGGGCACCGACAATGCAGTCAGGCGACTCGCACCGCTGCTCGATCGTGACGTCCTAATTACCGCCGATGCTCCTCGATTCAGTCCGCCGCGCATCATCGTTCGTTGCATCTCTCAACAACAAGATGAAACCAGCCCAACGTTGTCCACTTTTCGTTGTTCCTCGAAGTGCAGTTTCTTAGGTTTCCTAAACTTTTTCGAAACATTTTCAATTCCATTTCAAAAAGACAGGAAACTGGTGGTTTGTTTTATTTGGACAAAGGAAAGAAAAAGAAAGATGGAAGGCGAGCGCGGCTCATCGTCACCATCCGGCGCAGTGTCAATGCAGCCTCCACCGCCTCGCTCGTCTGCGCAGGGCGGATTCAAAGCACCCCCGGCGCGAATCGCACCGAAATCAAAATTGAATGACCCCAAGGGGAAGGCCAAAATCGAAGAAGATGAAGACGCCCCCGTCGTGGTCGAATCCATCGATGAATCCAGCGATCATCGTCAGCGCGAAGAAGATGACACCAAAGATGATGAAGAGGCACCGCCCCCCGCCCCCGCCCCCTCGCCAGCCGTCGGCGAGTACGTCGTGCCCGAGTGGGCCGCGCGGCCCAAGCACGCCTACGCGCTCGAGGTGGTCAAGGGCGGCGTCCAGGTCGAGCGCTTCGACGTCAGCGCCAAGGACCACTTC